CAGGAAATTAATTAGAGAGAGTAAGTATACAGGTTTACAGAAATCAGGAAGTTAAATAAAAAGAGTAGGTATAAAAACAAAGATACTACAAAAATACAAAAATAGTACAATTAAGGCTATACTTGTTGTTCTAGAAATACATTAAAAACCTTAAGAAAATTTGACCTTTTGAATGATGTTTCGTTTGTCGATATAGGAGTCTTCCGAAGACAGAATATTGAAAAGTACTCTTTTAAATTTTCAGTTTTGAAAAATTTTATCACAAATTTTGAAGCAAACAGAGTCATTCTAACTGCAGCAAAGATTAGAAGTCGAGGAGGAATGGTATAGTAGCAGTAGATGGAGTTATAATAACGTGGAAGAAAGAGGCAAAAGTCATGGAAAAGATGCTGGAGAGTTAGAATAAGAAGTTAGAAAGAATTTAGAATAATAAATATGTCCACAATGTAGTATTTTTTGCATGTGAGTCTAAGAAAGAATGAAACGTTACATACCTCATAAGCTTCTCTGATAAGTTCAACTATGTTAGAGGAATCTTCACTCAGTAAATCTACCACAGCTCCAGACTCTTTGCCAAAGAAGTCTACTAGTTCCTATGAAATGATAACTAAAGATGATTATTATATGGCAAGGTACTCCTGCGGTCAATCTGACCGTTCTGATTGTTTCTTACTTGGTCCATATTTTACTATTTGGACTGTTTCCAAGGTAATGGTCATGAGCTATGTATTTTTCAAAACAAACAAGTTTCCTCCAAGTGCCATATTATAAATTACTTACCAACGTTACTTTTTCATATTGTACACATGCGTTATTCACCGAAGCTTGTTCGGTCAAGATGGCTGGATATTGGCCGTGGTCTTTTTTGCGTTTTTATGGACCGAGACGAACTCGAAGTCCATAAAAACGCAAAAAAAGAACGACGCTAATACACAGCCATCTTGGCTGATGAGCTTGGTCAATAAAGGATTTATTATATAGCAAAAAGATTTTGCTTTAACAAGAATCAAGAATGACTTGTTTATTTCGAGAGCCGGGAAAGAGAGCCACTGTGTTTGTAGCACAATAAACCCAAGAAGGTCGTTTAACTTTTTTTTTTTTGTAGCGACTGTCTTCTGTCGCTTTTTGCGACTTCGTTGCCGACATTGTTCAAAAGTTACGAAGGCTGTAAGTCCGCTCCACGCATCTTTTTTTCTTGCGCGGGATCAAAGCCGGCAATCCCGAGCGGGCAAGATGAGCTCGGGTAGCCAATCAGAACTCAGGATTCGCCTCATCTTGCCTGCAGGGCGCCGCCAGCTAAATAATGATAGAGAATATTGGCCCTTTTGTATCGACCTCACTACGCTCAGTCTGCACTGCACCACCTCAGGCCAATATTCCCCATTAAGGTCCTCGCACTCGGTTAGGAGGGGGCACTGGGGCTTGCAGTTTGGCTATTTTTCAGATCGGTTTTTCGGTTTTTATGCCAAAAAACGTCAAAAAACGTCAAAAAACGTCAGTTTTTTGGTTTTATTGTTCACTGCGTTTTGTGGATTTTCCGCTTTCAGCATTTGGTTTTCGGTTTTCGTCAAACATTTCGACGGTTACTCCGATTCGGTATCCGATGTGCTTTTTCGGTTTTTCATATTGGGCTTCCAGTTTCTCTTCGATCTGAGCAGCACTTATACGCCTCTTCTGATCTCGAATAGCCGCGAAACATATGTTGCTCCAATTGCAACCACAGTATCAGATCGATTAGGATTTTGCCAACTGTGATGTGCAAATTTATCGGATTAGACGTTTTTGCATGCGCATTTCCGTTTTGATGGAATTTTTTTTGCGGTTTCTAATAGACCCCAATGCCCCTCTCGGTTAGCAAGTAGTTATTATCATGTTCACTTATTGCGTGCCACGGTTCATCACTAACAGCAGCTTCACATAATTTTAGAATTCGTTGGTCAAACTGATTCTTAGTCCTTTCTTTCCACTTCAACTTCAACTTCAACTTCAATGACCAAATTTAAGAATCGTAGGTCAAAATCAGTTAACAGCACATACCTTGTATTGTTCATACACATTCACTTTTGTTTTATTGATCGCGAAGATTGGTGACACTTGCTCCTCAATCAATTTCTGTTTGAGAAAGCCTGGGGATGGGTAGTCCTGTGCAACGAAATGTGCATTGGTAAACAAAACATAAAGCTAACAAATATTTACTGTGTGCATTGGTAAACAAAACATAAAGCTAACAAATATTTACTGTGTGCATTGGTAAACAAAACATAAAGCTACCAAATATTTACTGTGTGACAGACCAAACTGCACCTACCCTTGGACCCCTCTAAATTCCTCTTAACCCTTAAAGATCTAATTGTTAATTCTCAACTCTCCTTATAGATAAGTTAAGAGAATTTATTGTTAATTAATCAAGATGGCAACTTCTACCTGATAAGTTTGAATATACTCATTACCTGTCCACTGGACAATGTGTGAATAAGTTACATATTGATCACTTCTGGGAGTTAAAAAGTTGAAGTATGCCATACAATCCTCACTCTCTTAGCTCCTAAAATGTATTATTAATCAAAAAATTATAAACTCTGAAGGATATTTTTCTCTCTCCTCGACAGTTTTCTTTGTGAAAAATGTACGGTACTGATCCTTGCGGATCACTCGCACAGGGTGAAGGTCAGAGATGGAAATCAGAACTGGCCCTCTTCCACTCGCAAGAAACTGCTCATCACTTTGTTACAAAAAAATCTCAACAAGCAAACAATATCTACTGCCTTACCATTGTTGTGGATGCCATGTACTTGCCATGTTCTGTATGACAGTGGCCATCATTTGGTATGATGATTCCACCAAGCTGTGACCAAGAAGAGAAGAACATCAGAAGTTACAAAATTAGAATTAAATCTGTTTATAATCCACCCTCCTTTTTCCTCCACAATTGGTCTAAATTAATTGTATCATCTCAACAAAGGCTGAAATAAATAGATCTCACCTATAGATTATATCGCGATATTCCCTAACTTTAAGACCTCAATGGAATGAAAGTCTCCATAAAATTGATTCAAGATGAGAGAATGCTTGGCTGGTGTTAATTAAAAATAGAGTCCAAACTCAAAAGATACTTGCCATCAATAAAATTAACACATTTGCTGGAAAGCAAAACTATATTAACCAACTAATCTCCAATTTCCATTTTGACTCAACTATTCTATGATCACCTCTCTCTATGCTGGACACCAACATCAATCAATCATAATTGAATTAATTTTGAGTCATAGTCAAATAAGAGGACAGTATATAAAACATTTCAGAGCTCACCAAACCATCACCAGCAAAATGGTAATTAGCATCAGTTATTACAATGACCAGTCTTCTGGCAGATTGCTTGTCTGTCCAACCGATTTTCTGAATAGAAATTCAAAAAAATAAAATTACAGTTAAACAATCTCTCTTGCTTCATGAAACAAGTGTACAATTATATTAATACCAACAAAACCCAGGTTATGCACTGATGACAAGTTTCTAAGTTCTGTTTTTTAAAAACCTTTACACCCAAACATCAGTATGCATATTCTCCATACTGTTCTCTATACATTTCCTAAGGTGCTGAAAAGGAGAATTTGTTTAACAATCAAAAGCTTCTTTAGTTGGTGATCATTTCCTTTATTCTCACGACCTGAATGCTTGATTCAGGGGGGTGACATCATAAGGAGAAATTAGACCCTCGCAGGGCTCGACACTACCTTTTCAACTTACTAGCCAAGTGGCTAGTGACATCTTAGATGTTTTTAGATGTTATGACTATTTCAGTCTGTTTACTAGCCAAACTGGTGAGTGGAAATTGACAACCACTACTAGCCAAAACTGAATTTCTAATATCCTGTGGCTAGTGGGCTACCATTAGTGTCGAGCCCTGCTATCGTCTCTCTTAAGGGTCGAAGGTTTGAAGACTGCTGCAATATTAGCCATTTTGATGATTTTGAAAGTTGCAAAATTACAAATGAATGAAGCAGGTGATAAAAACGTCTTAGTTCGTATATTAACTTCTATTTATCCTAGAAATAAAAATATGTAATATTCTCCAGATTTCTGCATAGGATTAAGACATGACTGACTTGGTCAATGATTTTGGTCTTCAATATGTAAATCTAGAGGAGTCTTACCGGACCACAGACTGCAATCTGCATCAGGGCGTCTAATGTTCCTTCAGGATTATCAATATTCCCTGAAATATTCACTCGCTGAACAGCACTCTAATAAAAAAAAGAAACACCAAAAACTCAATTTAAAATGTGTACTATGACTTGTGCAAGCTGTTCATATCATCACAGCTGCAGTCAAGTTGCTCATGAGACACAAACTCATCGTAGAAACAGATTCAATCTACAAAAAGAATGTAAAGAAGGTATGTGCACAAGGGTGACTCCCATGGCTATGATAGCCATCCTTATTTTTGTAGCATGATGTAACTAAGAGAAACAATCACCATTCTAATTGGAATACTAATCCACTGCAAGGCTATCTCCCCCCTCCCACCCCTCCCTCAAGCATTTTGTCAGGTTTTAGTGGAGAGAGGCATTATGAGATTTAAGTGAACACAACACAATAAGCCAAACCGAAGCTATTACGCAAACCCTCCTTACTGTCGGCCATACAGTTCTTATGACCTGAGTTTGAAGAATTTGGTATTTGATCAACCAATAATCCCCTACTTGCAATTTTCTTTATTCTCATTGCTTGTCTGCTTGAAATTGTATCGATATTGTAAGGAGAAATTCTGTCTTGGTCACTTATGGGAGTTAAGGCGAAAATTTCAGTAGAAAAATACATCACATCTGCCATTCAAGATATATGCAAGTATCATACTCAAAATTAATCCCTTTGTTCTGTCCTGTAATTATTTTAGTCACTTTGTTAATCATGAATCTAATCCACAAAAGTTTAGCAAAGACTTACTTCAAACTCAGAATAATTTGGAGTCAGTTTCAGTTGGTTGATAAAACCAAATGCTGGAACAGAGACAGGGTTTGCAGCAGTTGCATCCAGTGGGTGTTTTAACCTGTCAAGAAAAGCAAATTTACTCAATTCCCTTTTTTCTTTTCCTTTTTTTTTTTTGTTTAATCTGTTGGTTGCCAACTGACAACTTTGTTGGAATTTTTTAGCCACCAAATATATTTTGGAGTCATGGGCTTCTTGGCAGATGTGCCCGTTATTCAGAGGATGAGGTGCTAGTTGCGACAGCAGAAAAAATTCCAAACTTGGCTTCCATTAATAGAATTCTTACGCTGCAGGTGCAGTGTCAATGTAAGGGGCCACTGGCTTGTCTACGAATCCTCCAAAACCAAGACGGAACCGGTTTGTGATGTTTTTCATTTCTTTAGCTGTAAAGAGCACAAAAGAAATAAGTTATAGTTGACTAAGAAGAGGGATAATCTACAAGAAGGCATGCTGTAACCTTTGATGATTTGAATAACTAATGATAACATGTGTAATACACCGAATGCAAATATGGCGTCCAATTTGAGTTGCCATTGTTCTGGACTGACTAGCCTCTCACACATGTAATAATCTTTTTGTGTTTCCACGTGAAGACGAGGCTAGTGAGTCCAGAACAATGGCAATTCAAATTGAATGCTATATTTGTATTCAGTGTATTGGTTTGGTATCTGGTTTACATGTATGACCTGGAGTAAGAAGTGGAGTCAGCTGTGGTCCTGAAAAGGATTGTTATTAGTAACAACAAGCTAAGAGATCTTAACAAATTTGATTGTCAGGTTCAATTTAGGGGGGAAAAAATAATCTACAATTTGTTAGTGAAAGATAGAAACTGGCTGATCACAACTGAAGAAACAAACACAGTGGTTTCAAACTGCTCCTCGTCAAGACAATCACACCAAACATCACAAACAGAATCGTTGTCATTAAACAACTAGTACAGAAATTGTTGTATCAGTAAGTACCTATCTGCTGTCCAAGAGTTGGAAACTTTTTAAGATCTTCTACCATAGAGCCAGATAAATCCATCAGGTAATAAAGATCTACTGGATAATTTTCGGGCATCTTAACATCCACTTTAATAGTTGCTGGTTGACCTGTTAGTAATGTAAGATTGCAAATCATTATTCATACTTAAGGACTTACTACTTCAAGCTCAAGCTGAGCTTTCTAAAAAGACAGCAAAAAAAAAAGTTGCAGAGCTTCAACCTGTTAATAGCTGCTATACACAGCAAAAAAAAAAAAAGGATAGGGCCAAGTACATATCTCACTTTGTTGTTAGAATGATTGTTCACCTGAGATATACTTCTTTTTATCAAGGAACACCTCATTTTATGATTCTGGTTGTCTCTACTCTCCCACCCAATCAGATATTAGGAACACCTAGCTCAAAACATAATATTAAGCTTAACCTGATTTGGTTTCCATAGAAAGACAACATTTGTATGCTGGATTTATGTTCATTGCATTTTTGATCGCAAAAAACCTATTTAGCTTTTACCAATTAACCTATGTCTTAGCCCTGATCGTTGATCTGTCACAGCTAACAGCACCATGAATTAGCCATGAATAAAAACGTATTATTACATGACTCGGGCAGTCAGAGGGCCAATAACTAAAATCAACCAATCAAAATGCTCTATTGCCAGTCAATATTCTCTCAGTATTGGACTGGGCACTGTCCCGAATGGTCCCGAATGATACCGCACTTGTTTCCCTTTGAACTTCAGTCGTATAATAAATCTCTTATTAACCAAGCTTGCTCAGGGCTGTACTGGAAGAATATCGGCCCTCGGTCTTTTTTGTACGGACCGAGCGCAGCAAGGTCTACTGTCAAGACCTCGGACCGATATTCTCCCAGTACAGCCCTCACGCTTGGTTAATAAGATCTATTTATAATGATGTAAAGGTACCTGGTCTAAGAGACAGAGTTAAATTCTGAGGGGTGACTTTGATGTCATCATCAAGTGGTTTACTCTAAAAGTAATGAAAACAAAATAGTTAAAAAATACACTCACAATAGGATAGGAAAGATTTAGGTCTAGTAGAATTAACATAAATCTAATAAGGATACCCAGGAAAAACAGCAAACATCTTAATGTGTTATCTGTGCAATTTTTTTAGGAACTCATGGCTCATCTACGCTGAAAATTTTATAATCAGAGCCTGGTTATCCAGAAAATTTGATTTTTCCATCAGAAAAAAAAAAAAAAAATTTGCTTACTTGGTTGGTGGACATAGGCTCAGATTGTGAAGTCACAATTTAATTCTACCCTTATAACTAGGCTGGATTTCAGATTTTTCCTCCATACCTAACTAACTAGCTGAAAGGTTACCACGAAGAGAAGCTGAGCTGTTTCACTTACTTCATGTGTAACATAATCAGATTTTGGATTGGCTATCTTCTTGCAGCCATTTCTAGTATGGTTCTTGATATCATCACATCTTGCTCTTGGCTGCTCTAGCCACATATATTCCTGTTATGAGAAACAAGAAACATTTTCTGATGACAGACAAATTTGCAATTTAATCCCATTTTCCTTCGCTTCCTGGGTGTGTTTGGGATAAAAAAAGAAAAGAACCTAACACTGCAACAAAAACTATAAAACCCACTAATGTCACAGTTTTGTATTCATGTATCTACATCTACATCTACATCTACTTTATTACTCTTCAATGCTATTACACATCAAGAAGAGATAAAAGAATAAAAATATAAAAATATAAACATAGCTAATAAAAATAATAAATAAATAAAATATGTAATTAACAATATAGCCATGCTTAAAAAAAAAAAAAAAAAAACTTAGAAAAATTTTGTACTGCAAAAAGCTGAATAATTAAGTGATCTAGTTCCAGGTGATAAACAGTTCCAGTCCCTTATAGTTCTCTGAAAGAAACTATACTTGTAGTAGTCATGATGTACAGGTGGTTGAATAAATGAATTCGTCGAGTATCATATTCGAATATATTATAACACTAAAAAAGTATCATACCTGATCATAATTTGTAAAAAATCAAGTACAACGTAAGCACCTGTCCTATTTATAGAACTCCATGAAATAGTTTTTTCTGTCTTAACCTTAACTTTAAATGAGAACCCAAGGACAATGGAAAGCCATGAAGGCTGAAAAGGTAGTATAGGAGTGTAAAATGCTAAAAATTGTCAATCATTAATAAGCAAAGTTTCTCAATAAAAGAGAGGTGATTGGGGTCAGAGAAAAAGTTTTGTATGAGGCTAAATGAAATTTAGGCAAGGTTAAAATCAAGGCATGATGGCCAGCTGAGGACAGGCTGCGGGGCGCCCCCTTTGCAATTGCAGGATCACGAGGTTTTCAGTACGTTTTGAGATCATCGAGGATCGTAACATGAGCTGCCTCTTGTGCTCCCACCCTCCCTCCTCTATGGCAGGCCAAGAGCAGGTAAGTATAAAACAATTCCATTGACTTGTCAGTGTGACTGGTGCCAGGGGGGGTGGACCGAGGTTGTGTCGCCATGGTAACCTTCCTGCTGTGGGCAGTCAGCGCGACTGCCACAGTGCTACGGCACCTTCCTCCAAGCTCATCAGTGCTAATGAGTTTAATATAAGCCTTTACACCTTAACATCAAGTTAGATATTCTCCATACTCTTTTCTATACATTTCCTGGATCAGGTTTACAGACATATCAGTATTGGCCAAGTGGCAGTCTAGTATCGGTCAATATGTTGGCCGATACTTGAACAACCACCAGTATGTTGGCTGAGTGTCGGCCCCTACTTCGACGAGTGTTGGCTGCTACTCGATCGGCTGACATCTTTTGTTTGAGTGTCCATCTATTTAAACAATAGAGTGTTTCTGTCGAGGAACTATCTGCTGATAGTTGCCCCGCGGAAATTTGATGTTCTTAAAACAAATATTTGCCCGAGAAGCAAAGCTTCTCGGGCAAATATGCTAGTTTTAAGAACATCAAATTTCCAAGGGGCAACTATCAGACCGATAGTTCTGAGACATAAACACTCTATTGTTTTTATTGTTCACTAAACTTTCTTCTGCACCCACAGCTTGTCACAAATGTCAATAATTTGCAACCGTACATTGGCTAAATAATACCTTATACCTGTCAGAATTGAAAAGTCACTGTTATTCTGATCTGCCTAACTTCACAGCCATCAAACTATTCAAAACTATTCACGGATGAGTACTATCAATCCAGGTATTTTCTGCGGACGGGCACTATCCATCTGGGTATTTTCCGTGGGCAGGCACTATGGGCTGATAGTGTCTCTCCACGGATGAACACTATCGCACCACGTGATCGATTTAAACCAATAAGAACCGGAGAAAATTTAGTGGTGAACTATAATGGCCGATAGTGTTGATGATCTATTGGCAAACTATCAGTCAACTATTGATGTACTATCGGTGAACTATTGGCAAGCTATCTGTCAACTATGAGTGAACTATTGCCAAGCTATCTTTGATGAAAAACAGGTAATAACTAGTGGCTTTAAACGATTCACCAACGTACTTACCTCTACTAATGTATATGATAGAATTTTAACGACCGACATATCGAATGAGACTTGACTGACATTCATTCGGCTTAGTACTGTCGGCCGATTATTGTCGACCAAGTAGCAGTCAACATGTCAACCAATATATCAACTGATAGTGTCAAGTGACACTAGTGTCAAGCGACACTGTAGTGTCAAGCGACACTGTAGTGTCAAGCGACACTGTAGTGTCAAGCAACACCACCTACAGTAAACATGACCCCTGTTCCTTTGGTACTGACTAGGGGAATTTGTTTTACAATTGAAGCTTCTTGGGTTGCTGATCAGTTCCTTTATTCTCCTGACCTTAATGAATGATGCAGCAGTATTATTGTGAGGGGAAATCAGGTGCTGGTCACTCTTTGAGTATAAAGGGATAATAATGACTGGGATAAGATACTTACAGCATCCTCACACCACGAACATGGTGGGTCTATGTTCTGTATACAGGCTCCACATGAAGATTCAATGGTTGTACAATCAATTCGAACACCTATGACTTTATCAAAAAGGTATCAAACGGTTAATAATGGTAATAAGAACAATTACACAAGTGAGTAACAAATTAGACAACTTCGGAGCAATAGTCCAAGAATGATTTCAGTCTAATAGAACTAAAAAATGCAAAATCTTCCAACCAATTGATCAAAACTATGAACAAATTTAGGAAACAAAATAGCTGTTAGCCATTTAAGAAGTGATTGACATGCAAGTTCTCCCTATAAGATGAATAATAATCATCGAATATTTATCCAAGATAGCCCTTCAGTACCAAGTACTCTTATCAATGGGGTCCTGCCAATTCCCACCCATCCCACCCCAGGGAGGGACATCCATCACACAGTCATCTCATGCATGGGAAATTAACGTCTCCTACCCCTAACCCTGCAGGAGACGGGGCCTATGGTTTGTTCATCCTTATCCGAGAAGACTAGAATATCTATCCATTTCTTGATATTATAGAAAGGTAGCAAATTCTCCTCAGTTATTTTAAGACCATGAGTATTGGTCTGAGCCGGGCTCGAACCCTAGGGCTCGAACCCTAGGCCTCGACCTCCCACAGAGCACAATCCTGCACTCTAACCAACTGAGCTAACATCATCAAGCAAACAGGTAATGAGAATATTCAGACTTATCAGGTAGATGTTATCTTGATCTAACACCAAATTCTCGTTACTAATTTATGAGGAGATATATTGCAGCTAGAGAGTAGAATTAACAATCTTATCATGGGAGTTAAAAGGGTTTACTAGATGAAAATTGAACAGACTCAAAGAGTATACAAATAAGTAAATCAATAATCCTTGTTATGGTAAAATTACCTGCAATGAAATCACCTGAAAGTCTGATAACACAAACAGGCAGAAGACTAAGTGTTAGAGCTATTAAAGAACACCAAACGATTTAATGTTTCTCTTTCAATTAAGTATCTCACAGCAGTTCGTTAATTAAAATTGGACAAACCAAACAAAGCTGTAACTTTATTTTGTAACTATAAAGTAAGGTATTACCATAACCTAATGTAATTTCATTTTTATACATCTGAATTACTGCTTGCTTGAAAATTGGAAAAGTGAGGTAATGGCAATTATTAAACATTTCAAGTGAACAGTTCTTTATTTTTTTTCTTTTGGACAAAAATTTAAAAGTGGAAGCAAAATACATGATATTAGAAACTTCTATGTCCCCACCCCCTGTTGAGAAATTAAAGAAGAATTCAATTCAAACATGCTTGAGAACTTCTTCAGATTAAAACCAAAATAAGACGCCACTTTCTTTTTGAAAACCATTTTGATCTTTAATCTTTTTAAATAAATTCATTTCCAGAACTTGCAACTATTGGTAATTTCTACCAGCTGTATCTCTGATCACGCTATTTTCATAATTCACACATTGATGAAAAGATAAACCTTTTCTTTCTAACAAAACTTTTAATAAATTTGCATTCAATCGGAAGAAATTTCGTAGGATACGTCAACAAAATTTGCTGAGAATTGAAAAGGTGTCGGTGTATAATTATATTTTCTGAGAATTCGTAAAAGCGAGAAATATTTTTTCTATCTCGCATTCGATCATACATGTAAATATCTACATAGATAACCACAGAGAAATAAGGATTTAAAGAACATACCGCAAACACCAGAGAAAAGCCCCAAAAGCGAAACACACAAAGGAATCGAGAGGGCACTCATGGTTAATTCCTGCGTGAAAAGAAGACAAGAATTATTTGAAACTTCCACACCAGACAGACGTAAATAATTGGTTTGCCAGAGTGCGTTTATTACTGCTCATTATCCGTATTAAAGTGATGCCAAAAGTAAAACTAACGCCAGCGTCAAAGCATTGTAGTAATTCTTGATGAGAAAGAACTAAATAAAACATTATGATCAATGAAGACCACACTTGTGTCTTCGCGACTAGAATGCATAAAGTGTGCAAAAATTCGTTCGTTCGCGTGTCCTTCGCGTCTTCGATACGACACAATAGCATAAGTGGCTATACTTTCACTTACCCGTAAGACATATAAAGTGAGGAAAATTAACCTTAGAGAAAATAGTGCTTGAAGGGTTAACTCTGTGTCAAAACAAAACTGCTACATGTAGCTTACTACAACGTAGACCTGTGCAAAGCAACCGCGAACGACTGCAAACAGAAATCTGTATGATTTGACAATAAGTATTCTTCGCTTCACGAGTATTCCAAGTACTCTCTAGTTTAAACAGCTGAAGGAAAAATTTCACCCAGACGGACCGATTTCCGCAGGCATTCCAAAGCTTACCTAATTTTTACGCTCCCAGCCTGTTCGTTGTATCAATGGATTACAGTTCTGTACGAATTGACTTTTGTGGTACGCGTTGGGTGAATAAATTAACTCCTCACCAGTCAATTACAAATCTAAAAGACAGGCAGCTGGTACTTCAGCAGAGAGCTGACTCCATATTACTTTGATGACAGTTGTAAATATTTTCTTAGCTCATCGTCGACGTTAATTTTGAAAGCGATGTCCATTTAAGGGCTACGCACCGCCGGGTTTGTTGACATGTTTATAAATCGTCGATTCTTCACAAAACTATCAAAGACTGCTTTTATGGGAGACTAATGGAATTGCGAACACCTAATGTGTGAAACAGAAAGATGAATACCAAAGCAATAGGATTATAGGCGAAAGAATTAGGGATGTCAAAGACTTACACGAAACCTCGAGACCGCCAATTTCTGTCGTCGATAAAATTTTTTATGCCCCTGACTATTTAACAGCACCATAAAAAGCGAATAAAACCCTACATTGTTACCAGATTTTTAAAGTCTCACCTGCGGCAACCCGTGGCGACTTTTCTACTCAATCAGACGGACAGATATGTCTCCCGAATCCGGAAACTCACAAATTTCTCCCATTCCCTCCAACAGAAGTCGTCACGCTCTGCACATGCAAAGCATTCTTCGACTCGCCCACAAACCTCCTCCTCCCTAACGGGTCTCTACGCCTGCTCACGTTCGCTCACACAACAAGTTTAAAAGGGTTTCTTTTTCCTTACGAAAGTCTTCAAAAAAATATTAGAAATTAACTTAACTTTTTAAAAAATGGTTGTTTTTTATTTTTTTAATAAAAATTTATCCATATTAGTTAGTTTAAGCCATAATCTCGCAACAAATATTTTCTAAAAAATAAAAGCGTCTAAACCAAATGAAAACCTAACAGGCCCCAATTCAAACCAGCTTGTAGCAACTGAACTAGTCCAGTCTGCATAAATATAAAAAATTTTGTGAATAAAGTACAAAAAAACAGCAACAAAAACACAAGAGAAACGTTTCGAGACGATGACGCGAAACAGTGAATTTAATAAATATCAATTTTTCTTCATGGAAAATCAAAGTTGTTTGACTTATTTTGGGTAAACTGGCCCCAATTAGTAGGGATATTATTTCCACCTGCAATCTTTTGAGTTTGCGGTGAAACCAAAATGGATCTGGTGCTAACATTGCTGGCGGTCTCCGGTTGCCTAATCTTGTTGCAGGTTCAGGCGATAAATTTTATCATGTGTACCGCAGTATTTCTGAAGAAACGCAAATTATTATTGCAAGGAAGTTTAACGTCAGCCACACTTAATCGCCGACGACGTAGACTGCTTGGCATCTGTCCAACTCAAATTTGCCTCAGTGGCATCTGGATCTACTCTAGCCTTTTTTGGGGGAGGCATTTTCACTTTGTCGATCGAACGACGAAACAACACTGGGCTTGGTAACCATTCCATTTCGAATGTTCCCGGAGTTGTCGTTGTGTGTAAACGGTCAGGAATCCGAATATCCTTTCAGTGTAAACGCCTACGAATCCGAATACTCCAAAATTGATGAATCCGGAAACATTTACGAATCCGGAAAACTCTCCTCTAGTGTAAACCTAGTCTTAGTTGTTGTGGCGTGTGAGCGCTGCAAGAGTGAACTCATTGACAAACATGAGTTTCGACTTAAGTACGTCCTTAATCCGGCTGTAGGACTGCATAACTTTAACAGTGCAACCATATTTCTTCAATCAAATCACAAGACTTACCATTTAACTCAATGACGTCACAGTATCAGTATCGATGTCGATATCGAAAACGCCGGTATCGTACTCGGTATCGTATATGGTATCGATTCGAAAGGCCCATTTTTACCAATAGGCCCTTTGCAGCTAGAGATCACGTGCTTAGATACCGCATAGCAACGCCATACTGGAGAGCAAGCACTCCAGTGATCTCAGACAGTATGGAGGTCACAGAGGTCTGCATTCAAACAAACAATACAGCGGATAACAGGTCAAAAGGTATCCCAATTCGAGAAATCCAGTAAGAAGTAATCAACAGCTTCCCCGGAGTGTATCAGCGGCAAAATCACACCAAAATTCGTTTTTCGCTGAAACACTCGAAGGAAGCTGTTGAAAACTTACAAGATTTCTCGAATTGGGATACCCTTTAACTTGTTATCAGCTGTATTCTTTGTTTGAATGCAGACCTCTGTGATCTCTATTTTTTATCTGAGATCACTGGAGTGCTTGCTCTCCAGAATGGCGTTGCTATGCGGTATCTAAGCACGTGATCTCTAACTGCTAAAAGCCTATTAGTAATATGATTGATGTTGACAGAAAGTATGTCATTTGATTGTAATAGGCATGTGTCGGTGACCAACCGTGACGGGGGTGGGGAGGCTGGATGATTTTGGTTATCTTCATTTCTATTTTATTCATTACGTAGTGATCAACATAGACGAGGTCGAGGTCTACAAGAACGCAAAAGAAAAAACGGCCAAGATGAAGCCATCTCTACCGAATAAGGTTTGGTAAATACAGAATGTTTCATATGACAAAGAGATTACACCAAAGTAGATTAATCTACGGAAATCTAGGACGTGTTTGAGACTTTTTTGCTTGGTACCCACGTATACTGACTCTCGCGAGTTGCCCAGCCGAAGAATTCCGATTGTAATTGATTTTGTTCAAAATGAAGAACTTAGAAATTCCCTACAATGAGCTGTTAAAAATTTCTCATAACACCAACATCTAAATGACCAACCAACGACTCGATCAGGTGTTTAAAGACATCATTGCGCAGTCAAGTGGCACAAACCTTTTTTCAGCATAGGACAGGCAGGATTGGTGCCTCACAGAGTAAGGCTGCAGCACACTCAGACCCTGCATTGGCATCACAGTCACTCATGTAACGAGTATTGAAGCGCAGGATCCATCATAAGTCGGGAATCCGTGTTCGGTTGATCAGTTAGCGACCCGTGCAGTGACTGGCAACCTTTCATTGTGCGCCTTATGATCGATCATGAATGTGAGTGAAAGTTGCAGATTGCTTAATATAGTAAGTAGAAAGATTGTATCATTGTGATCTTCTTCATTTCCTCGGGACAAAATGAAAAAATGAGTCCCAATAAATTGAAATTTTTGACAGGTTTGACTGTCTTATTGATGCTACTGAGGAGAGCTGAACAGAAAACCTGCCTTCATTCACTCCGATCGGATCACGTGACTTACCATTCATTTTAATGACGTCGCAGTATCGTCGCGGATATCGATATCGAAGAAAAAAGTAAATATCGTACTCCGTATCGTATCGATTCGGAAAAGCCGTATAAGTGCTGCGCAGCAATCGAGCAGCAAGATATTGAGTATTTAATAAGAATATAAAGGGGGTGTGAATTCTCGAATTCATCCCTTTTTTTTACCAGAATGCATTACTTTTTACCAGAATGCATTGTATTTAACTAGAGTGCTCTCGCCATGTTTGTTGTGTTTAGTGTACTACGTTACATAGCATTACCATTATAAAGACATTTCATATATGTACTCAATCCTGTTCCGCTACTTTCCTAAGTGAAGGCAAATTAACTAAACGCGAGTATTATATGGTAAATCTACTATCTTGGTTGCTGAATGGAGGACAGTTGAACTAGAGCAATGAAAGGAGTTACTTGATCAATGAATAACTCTACCTTAGTGAATTGACACGCCCGGTAAACCAGAAAGCGAAAGGCGGTCAACCGTTTTGTGGTGTTGATAGGTCTGTGCAACTCCTACCATTCGCTATCAATTTAAGTGTAGCTCTTATTAGGATATATAGAGAATTTTCGCTGCAATGTGACGATAAGGGTAACTTTTAAGATATCATTTTCCCATCTGTATGTTCTTATGTTTTGTTAAAATAGGGTGAGATCGTTTTACAAAAGGCAATTATTTTTTGTGCGCGCGCTATTTGCTTTGTTTTTAAATACACTTTCTTTCCCGCAGAAAATAACTTCAGAGATACGTTTA